CGGGCTTCCTGCCGTGCTTTTCCCTGCAATTGGCAGCTCGGGTCCGGCCCGGGGAACATCAGCCCGGACTGGAAGAGGGTCCCCAGCCGAGGCCGGGTAACGGCTTTTACCCCCCCGTCGCACAAAAGTCACCGGGGCAATTGGAAGCCGCGGGAGGGCAGAATTGCATAAGCTGGGGGGTGGCGTTGTGTAACGAGTGACGTCCGGTGGGCGTGGCGGGAGCTCGGCGCCGGCACCCAGCACCCGGAGGCCCAGCTGGCCGCTGAGCTCGGAACCGATATTAAACCAGTGCGCGGTCGGCTCTTCCCTGAAAATGCCCTCAGAATTGGCCCTCTCGGAAGTTTCAGCCTGCCTGTTTCATCTCATATACTTCAGTATAGACATTTGTGCTTACTTTGAAATGCACTAGTTTTGTAAGATGTAGAGGTAGAATTTGTGCTTCGCGCGCGCTCTCGTTCTTTGCCTTCACAAATAAGTTATGGGGAAAGGTTTTGTAAGTCTTTGTGTTCCTCTTTAAGGTACGGCAGCTTTGGCCTCTTAACCTAGGTTAGTACCTTTCTGAAAATGTTTAGAATCCAAAAAAGAAAAATGTCAAGTTTAGGTAAAGAGGAGAGTTCTTTAAGTCAGTTGGAATTTTACCTCCCTCACCCAGAGGACGTTGTGTAAAGCAATATCTGAAACAGTTTCTATGCCTTATGGGGGTGGTGCTGGTGCAGACATCTAGTGGCTTGGCCAGGGATGCTGCTGAAACATCCCCCAAGGCAACAAGACAGCTCCTACAACAAAAAAATAACTGGCCAAAAATGTCAGTAGCGTCACTGCTGATAAATCTGTGTTAAGCATATTTGAAGGTCGTAATGCTTATGCATTGACATAAAATAGTACTTAAGGGAGTGATCGTCACGAAAATGAGTAGACATCTAAATACAGTATAAACAGACCGTAGTAGTAATTCAAAGTATATTTTGGGTCTTTACTCTCGAGTGCTTAGTCATGTTGAACTAGTGACAATATCTTGAGTTAATGCCTTCCAGTTCCAATTACAAACCTGAGGTTTGTTTTCGTTCAGTATTTTATGGGAGTAGATAGTTACAAAATAGAATTATAGACCCAGAACAAAAGGAAACCATGAGGTATCCAGAATTTTGGTGCCAATGACTGTAGCTGTCTGGGTGCATAGATTCAGAGTGGGATGCTGAGCCTGAGTGTACAGACCATGCAATACCTGGCCTTGATCTCAAAATGAGGAAGCACAAGTGGGGACATCAGAATGACTGGTCCACTGTCACACAGCTGTTTCTTGTACAAGCTGCTCTGTGTCCTCCAGTTCTCCTACATGTTGTCCCAGCCTTTATACCTCATCCAAGAACAATACCAACATACGTTTCCAAGAAGGTTTTTTCGTTGGTCAGTGGTATATAAGAGGATGAAACTTCAGATGTAGTTATTTGACCTTCCCTTAAATTAGGTGATTCATAAGCATTCAGGTCCTACTTAATCCATGGAAGAACAAGTGAGCAAATTTACAAGTAAGATCCAATTTAACATTCAATAACTAATATTTTAACTAAGGAAGATCCTAAGTCTTGTATTGAGGATGTTATTTTTAGCAGAAAAAAGGCTCAGAAAGATGGACTGCTATTTTTTGCATAGACTGCACATGGGCATTTTGCCCATTAAGTTAATCTGACTTTTCCATCTCATGTCTTATCACCTCACTAGTTTATTTTTTTTCTTCATTTGTAGGTCTTTCAAAACTCATTAATTTCATAGTTGAGCTTGTGTTGCACTGACACTAATGAAGCTTAAATTGTTTTTAACCTTTTGAATTGTTAAAGTGTAGTAGAAAGAAGAATGTAGAGCTGAACAAACTATAGTTGGTAAAAGGTAGATTTATATGTTTCATAATTTATGGGCATAAAGGATGAGTATATAACTCAGTGGTAGATAACTTGCCTAGCAATCTTCAGAATTGCAAAAAATTTATGAGCATAACCAAAAATGATAGATAATGGAGTCATAAGTTTATTTGTAATTTTTTAGGTTGTAACTGTTGTTACCAAGGTAGCTAGATGGGCATTTGAAATGAGTTTATATAGTTGTACAGTTTTAGTTATTAATGCTACTGTCATTGTTAATGATGAAAAAGATCTTCACTGTAATTTCTTCATATATTTCCCATCATGAAACAAATACTATTAGCTAGAAAAAATAACCTCATTTACAGTTAGCCCACACATATTCAAAATTATCCCTGCCAACAGAAAAGGAAAGCTTGAAAACCTTTGCCAAAACCAGAAGTTCCCATTGAGATTACATAAGTTTCTGTTGCATTGAAATATATTTAGATAACATTTAATCCATTGATCTTTTGGTATTAACTCTCGGATGTTTCATAACTTTCTTTTTAGTATTCAAGGGTGTTATGTAAAAGTCTTTTCTGCATTGAGTCTTTATACTTGAATCTGTTAAAGTGACCCCAGTATGTAATGCTTCTTTTTGTTCTCAATGGATTTTTACACTGACTTGCTTCCCTCCTTTGTTCAGCCTTCTTCCCCAAAGAAGACAACAGTGTAATTTACAGTTCGAACTGATTTTTAAAAAATAATAAAGGTCATACTAGGGATAACCTTTTAAATGTACACTATTTGGGAAGGAAAATTTTGTCTTCAATATTAATTGAATAGTCTTTGAAAGCTGTTGCACAGCAGTTTAACATCTGTATCAGCTGATCCTCAGAGAGAATCAGTGAAGTCCTGTTGTCCTCCTGAAGGAAAGGGAGGCTGCTAGACACAGGTGCAGTGACTCTGTGTCCTGGAAACAGGCTACCTGGGGAGGAAGCCATGCAGCCCTCTGCCCACTCTTGCTTTGGGCCTGTCACCTAACCTGTGTTTTGGTTTTCTTCTCTGTACAGTGAACAAAGCCTTTACTTCATAGGGTTGTTGTGAGCTCTAATCTAAATGAGTCAAAACATGGAAAGCACTTCAAAATAGTACTTCAAAAAAGTACTTTGATAAAACCTGGGATATATTAAATATTTTTAGAATATAGTTGTTATGGCTAGAAGATGATTTAGCTGAATCTAAACCTTGTGAGTTTAATTCCTATTCTGTTTCCTCTACTGCTTTAATATTACCAGAATAAAGGCTAAATCCTGATTCTATTTTGCACATTAATTAGCAGTTAATATTTTAACACAATGACATATAGATACTGCTATACTATAATTAGATTAGTCAAATTATAGGTAAATATTAAGTATATTTAAAGAGAAGGTGAAGGGTTTTTAATATCTTAAATAGCTCAGTGGGTTAAAATGAAGATATCTGAATATATTGAATCAATAACTTATTTATGTTCCTTATATGAAAGATTCGAAACATTGACAGATATATGTTGCTTTGTAGTTAACAAAGTATTTTCACTTCCATTATTTTAAGTCATTCTTATAAAAGAGCATGTGAAATAAAAGGCAAAATATTAGTATTCATAATTCAGATATTAGAAAAAGCCCCAAGATTTTTATTAAGACAAGTAACCAAATTAGAACTAAGAGCAGCTATTGCTTCTGAACATGAAGTGGATTAAAGAAATTACCATCTTAGAAATAAATCTTAAGCATTCTTATTATTCACCAGCAAATATTTACCTAATACCCACATATATCAGGTACTGTTTTAATTTGGGGGAATATAGAAGTGAGCAGAATAAAATCCCAGTCCTTACAGAGTTTATTTTTTTTATAATTGCAGCAAATTGGTATCTATTGAATAACTCAGGAAATAAAAAAGAAACAACCAGGATTTGTTGCATAAATGACTTCTAATTAACTGAGCTTGTATGTGGTATAACTCTAATTTGTTTCTTTGATTTATAAGATGCTGTAAGGGTCTTTGTAATGCCTCAGTTACTAACAAGATCAGTTATGGCATATTCTTACTGAAGTAGATTAAAAAATGTTATAAATTACTATGATGTGTGCCCTGTTTAAAAATGATTTCCATTTTACCTGTTTTTATTCATCAAATAATGTCAAATATACCAAAACTTAGTTATCTTATATTTCTACTATTTATATATTAACTTTTTGTTCAGGATTGTTTTTGTATTTGAATATTTCTCAATGGTTTGAAAACATTCAAATAAAATTTGAGATAAATTTGTAGAGTATTCTAAAAATGTTTTTCAAAATTGAATTATGTATTATGAATAACTTCAGAGAACTTTAAATGCAAGACAGACACTTCTCTTTGGTAGATAGTGTTGATCTTTGTTTTCTTTTACCTTGGTCCCATGCTCTTATCTACACTGCTGATCCCTAAAGATGCTTCCCATGTCATCTAATGTTTGTAAGAGAAAACAACAGAGTAGAATGCATCCTTGTATGCCTTGCTTCAAGAGCTAGCCTAATTTTTAAATCAATGTGTTCTGAAATATTTGTAGTTATCCACAACTACTATTGTTGATAATAATTGTGTGTCAGGTAGTATGTTACCTAGTTGTGTGCATTATTTTATCGGTCCTTACAACAGCTTTAAAATGTATTTTATAGGTGAACATTTTAAAGGAGAGGAGGCTAAGATTCAGAGCATTAGATAGATTTCCTAAAGGGAATCTGAGTCCACATTTTTTAATCCAGTGTTTATGATCTTAATCACTGTGCCAAACTCCTATTCCTGGATATTATTAACCAGTAATGATATCAGTTAGCATCTTTCACATTATCTATGATAACCAGGTTCTACCTTACTAATTTAATAAAATAGTAGAAGCAAATAATGACATTTTGATTGGCCATTGGATATTTTGATAGCTTCACATTATAAGACACTCAAAAGAATAAAAGGATATGAATAGAGCATTTTGTACACCAACATAACCCAAATACCTTAATAAACACGGTAATATACCATTTAATGATAAGATGCATTCTGAGAAATGTATCAATTAGACTATTTCATCATTTTCTGAACACAGTATACTTACTGTTCAAATCTAGGTGGTATACTATAGCCCTTTACACATCCGGTCTCTTTTATGCTCTTTTGGGACTACTATCATAAATTTGTTGTCTTGCTGACTGAAATGCTATTATGTATTGTGTGACTGTATAGTTTTAAAAGCAGACTTGCTGAAGAAATGCATGCTAAAATAATGCTATTTTTCACTTGCATTTTTCTAGTAAACAAAACAGCTAGCTGGAATATAAAATCAAGTTCTTATAAAAGCAGAAATGTGTTGACAATTTTGTATATTTGTTATACTTTTTCTATTAGTAAAACGTTGGAGGTAACTTACCTGCAGAATAAGGAATTTTTAGGTAGATTATATATATATATAGTAGAATATTTTATATTCATTAAAATGTGAAATAGTGACAGTTATAGATAGTATATTTAATAAAATGCATACTACAGGTGTAATTTACACACATATACAGTACAAGCTATATACCATTAAAAGAATTTTATGGGTGGCCTTTGGTTTAAACCAGCCTACTTAAGTTGCAGCAGACCAGACCAAGACTGTTGGAGTCACTTGCACTAAGTACCATGTAATCCAAAAAAATCAGAAGATTCTAGTCAACCTATCAGTATAAAGAAGCCTTTCTCTTTTAACCCTATAAGGAAGGGTAACTTTGAAGCAACCAATCCTCTTTTTGTCCCATTTTGGAGTTTCTTAGCTTGTTTCTATATTCAGCTAATCAGAATACTCTATTTTATAGAATTACTTGTTGCCCAATTCTAGATTTGCAAATAAAAACCAATTAGATATTTAAACAACAGTTGTGATAATTTTGTCTTTTGGTAGCACCAACACTGGCTATTTCTTTGTGATTAAAAAAAGATGATTTTTAAGTGTCTCGTATAATTTTTAATTTTATGAGTAGATATTTTAAACTTTTGCAATCTTGAAAAAAATATTTCTGAAATATGGAGTAAAGAACAACTTTAAGACTGCCATGATGTTAATTATGGTTTCCTACTGATTGGAAACTCACTTTGGCTTCCAAAGACCCTGGATAGCCAAAGGCTAGTTTCTTGAGAAGAGCTGAGTTTTGTTTGCCTAATGACTGACAAATAACAATACTGACTTTAAAAGTAGAGAAAGGGGGAACATGACCTGAGACACTCAAAGGAGTCAGATTTTAGTGAGTGTCCTTTGTTCAGGAAACACTGAGCTGGATTTGAGGGTACCAGATAGGAAATAGGGGTGGGAACTAAAAAACCAGATTTTAGAGTCAAACTACTCTAAAATGCTATGTATACACACAGTGAAGAAACAGAATCATAATAGCAAACAAATAGTGCTTTTGTTATGCCAAGCCCTGTTCTGAGTGCTTTACATACATGAACTTACTTTCTTGAGTAACCTTGTGGGGTAGATGCTGTTGTTAACCTAGTATGGATGTAAATAGCAAGAGTGGTGTAGTTAGAATCTTAAATCTATCACTTACCAGCTCACCCTAGGGAAGGAATTTGAGCTCTCAGTGCACAGTTTCCTTATCCACAAAAATGTGAACGAAAGCAAGATCCACACAGGATTTTTCTGAAGAGTGGAAATCATTTAGAACAGAACCAGCAAGTGGTGCTTCTGAAAAAATAAAAATTTAAAAACCCTTCAATTTTATAACAAAGGAAACTGAAGAGATGACTTGTGACTTCCTGGCACACAGTAAGTGAACAGTCCCCGCTCTGAAGTTTAGGCACGCTGACCTTAAGGCTCCCACTCTTGATCTGTGGAATGCCTTTTGTCAAGGTAGACTCCATAGAAAGTATTTTGTGAGGAGATTGGGGAACTGCGTCTTGTTAAATAGAAAAGTGATCTGAAGAATAGCAACACTAAATAAGGAATAGTATGACAGGGAAGGAGGCATAATACATTTAGCTCAAACCAGTCATCTTCGTATTTTTTTCACTTTTTCAACAAATTAGAAGTGTACAGTGTCAGGTGCTTGTTGCCATAGCTAAGCACCAGGGATATCTGCCATACTGGACCGAGCAGATCCTTCCCAGGGACCTGGGCAGTGAAGGGAATTGTGCATTCCAGAGCCCTCAAGGTCAGGGAGAGGCAGAGCAAATATTGTTGGTTCAAACTTGAGTTAATGACAGCATGGCCAGGGCTGACTGCCTCTTTTTTTTTTTTTTTCGGTCACTTTTCTTCAAAATTTATTTGGACAGTGGTTATCCTGTATACTTATTATTTAAGGGGCTTCAGTTAGTACATTCGGCTCATTTTTAGAATCAAGGATTTGAAATAAATGGGATAGATCTGATCTGTTTTGTAAACTGATGTTTTTCTCCAATAGAGTCATTTAGGATAATTATTCCATTCACATTTGAAATTTTTAGTAAAAGGAGTTAAGCAAGTGTTTCAAAATCTGCCTTTCTCTTCATCTCATTGTGGGGTATACTTTTCTAACCCCAATATTGACTTTTAAAGACATTCTTTATAATGTATCAGTAGCTTGAATGTTTCTGTGGAGAGAAGAGAGCCTTTTTTCCACTTTGGTTATAATGAAGACTTTTGTTTTTCTTAGCCGTGTTTAATAATTGACATATTGTTAGGTACATTGTGATATTTTGGTAGATGTTTATATTGTATAGTGATTAAATCACAGTTGTTAGCATATTCATCAATTTTATAGATTAACTTTTTTTCCAAAGGCAGATTGTCTCCAGCATCTCTTTCACTGCTTCCCTATAGAGATGACTAACAAGTAAAGGCAAAGAAAAAGGTAGCTGTTCAGTAGTGCTGAATGTGCATTGTACCAAGTGTAGAATCTGATGCAAGAAGAAAAATAATTGAAAGGAAGAGCAGTAAGAGTTCTGAAGAGTGGGCCAGGTGGCTTGTTTTCACAGTGAACTCCTTTTCTGTAGAGTGGACCCTCTCAAGGATACCTTGGAAGCCCTTGAGCTGATGGTGGAAAACTGCATTTCTTCCCCAGAGTTTGGTGCTGAAGTTTTTACCACTCATTCTTTGGCTGTGTTCATGTACCATTATGTTTTCTGATCTCCATTTGTGTTTAACAAATCAATGTTACGTGGTGCTGTTTCATAGTCACATAAAATTGTCCCAGCTAAATTAAGCTCCTCAGAAGCAGGAATAATGTAAGATACTTTTAGCACCTACAGAGTCTAGATTTGTGTTAGGAATTCTTTAATTCTTCATTATTCATGTCAAACTTCTAATTTTTATGTATTTTGTTCAGAAATAATGATTTTTCAATTAAAAGACAAAACATTCTAGGCATGTCTTTTTATGAGGAAGTAAAAGATTCTCAAGAAATACTAATTTCATTTTATTTAAAAACTTTCATTGATATAAAATTGAGCAAATATAATTCCAGTTCTCATGTACTAAGATATATGTAAATATGTAAGATGTGACTTTAAAATCTTTATAGACTACTCTTTTTAAAAATAGTATTTTTTCTTAGAGGTATTCATATCATAAACATATTTTCAGGATTCTTAAAAATAATCCCGTCCAGTAAAATAATCTGCTTGTTATAATTCGATCAAACTTACAGGTAAGATTCAACATGTAAAAGGATTATATGTATCTGTCCTTGGTTTATAAACTTTAACTAGGTTATTCTTCTAGAATCATAACTTATTTCTTGGCCTATGATATTTTGTGGATTATACAGTCTTTCTAAAATAATCATATCCTTTCAAAATACTATTTCAGAGCCCAGTGACCTGACTCTGAAAATTTACAGAGCAGAATCTTATGCTGGTCTTCAGGAATTTAAAGCAGCCATTGAAGATTTAAATTCAGTTCTCTTTCAACTTCCACATTGGCCTGAGGTAAATTAATGTTTGTAAATTGCGTAAATATTAAGATATTAACTATAGGGAACTTTGGTTTTGGTTACAGATTTTAACAAAATGGGTGGTTGGCTCCAAATAGCATAATAGCATTCTAGAAATCTGGGGTCAATATTTTGAGTAGATTATATCATCTGACAGTTTTTAAATTATTAAAAAAAAAAAACAACTTTTCTTCCATTACCAAAGAACAAGCTGAATTCATGATACAGGGGGAAGACAAAGATATTGTTACACAAAATTTTTACAAAGAAATACAGCTTACCATGTTGTGAAGTTGAACTCCAGATAGACTTCACTGAAGAAGGCTTGTTAATGGAAAGAGCCGTGTTCTTAAGGCCAGAAAATGTTTGAGGTCTTGGAATGGTAATCAGGTGACTAGGCAGTGAACTATACAATAGACGGGCAAAACAAGTTGCCTTGCTCCTGGTATTTTAAAAAGACTTGAGGAAGGTGTATAATATACAATCAATTGATTGTTTCTCGTTTTTACCAAATTTTACAGTCTATCTCCTGTACATATTCTTGAAGCTAGAGGTTACACTTTTATGTGACTTTTCTCCCTCCATTCAAAATTGTGTCTTTGAGAACAGTATAGAAAGATAATCTAAAAATTATACATCAGTGAGGAAAATAATGCAAAGTTGTATGATTGCATGATTGATTAGTACAAAGCAAATATATATTAAGAGGGCATTGGTAGGTTTGGATGTTTAAGAAAAGGAAAGAATCCTCTTGACATCATTGAAGTGGTATAATTGGAGATGTAGTCCTCTTCAGACATTTCAGTCGCAGCTAAAAAACTGACTTGAACATTCTTTAGGTTCATATGATGTTTTTTAATACTGATGAATTACATACATAGAATTAATACATAGAATTATGGATTAGATTAAAGTGAAAAAAAGTTTTATAAACCATAATTCTATGTTTAAAGCTTGCCAGTTGACACTACGTTGGACTGACCACAAAGTGAATTTTTGGTTTATCCATGATAATTAGTAGGTTTCCAGTTTTTGTTATAGAACTTGCTGACCTCATGAGGAGAAAAAAGAAAAGACAAGGGATTTATGAAAAGTGTCTTATGTCTATAAATATTTTCTTAAGGAATATTATTGCCAAAGATATATCTATCCCTTAAGGATCTGGGATGCATTTACCATAAAGTACTAATACTATGATGAATTTTTTCATCACATTTTAATGTTTTTTAATCTTAATGCATTCTAAAGTCAGTATAATTTTACATATTATTTCCTCTTTTCCTTCAAATTTTTAAGAAGTTAACAAGTTGGAGCGTTCTGGTCTTGACAAGCTCTAACTTGCTGTGAACTTTGGTCAAGCCATTTTGTGGCTCTCAACTTCCCTGGAGATTCATTAGTGCTTGTTCAGGGTAGTGTGTAGATAAAGCTCTAAAATTCCTTGGCCTCCTCAGTGTTACTCAGATTTAGAATCAGTATTTCTGAGCACTTTTTTTTTCCTTTACTTGATCATGATTTTCTTAAGTAGTTCTGCCTGTAAAGGTTTCTTATGTGTGCTTTTGTTGAAGGTCTACTTCAGGAAAGGGAAAGTACTCCAGGATGCTGGCTTTTTAGGTGACGCCTTACAACTCTTTCTTCAGTGCTTAGCCCTTGATGAAGATTTTGTACCTGCAAAGCTACAAGTAGAAAAGGTAATAGTTTTTTTTTTTACCAACTGTAGCAGTACAAGGCAGACCTAAGACCCAGGTCTTTTTCAGAAATGCTAATTTGAAAGTGTATAAAACAACAAAAATAGTGAGTAATAGAGGAACAATTTTGTCACTGTCTGGGAGTAGGTCAGGCCCTCATTTCCACATTCTTGGTGTTGCCAACAAAGAATTGAAGCAAGCACTCAAGTTAGATTGTGATAGCAGAAGTTTATTGAAAGCAAAAGGAGGCCTAGGGAGACCAAGCAGGTCAGTATCAATGAAGAAGAAAGGCAAAGCCAAGAGGCTTTTAGGGCAGTGTGATTTTGCAGTGATTCCCTCATTTGTACCTCCTTCTATGGGAGTGGTCTTAGGCCCTGTGGGGAGAGTAATGGACAGCTCTTTCCTGTATAACGTCTGGGATTCTGTGAATGTTATTTGCATAATGCCACTGTTTTTAATTAGATTCAGTTAATTAGATGCAATCTCTGTGCATGAAGGCTTAATTGCCCTGGAGTCGACCTGAGGTCACTCTAGCACTTAACTGTGTCTGCCTGCATCTGAGGTCTTTCGCTACACTGGTTACCTTGATTTTGCCATCTGGCTTTGAGCCACAAGAGCAGAATGCAGAGATGGACTAGTGTGAGGTTTCAGGGTAGAACTAGGTTGGTGAGTGTCCTTAGCTGGTTTTCTCTGCCTGCACATGACCCCTGTCTGTCCCTGAATTATTTTGACAAGTGATTTTTCAAATCCATATATTTAGTGTATTGAATTCTTAGTGAAATCAAAACATTTCATTCACAGGTACTTTATTTTGTTTCATTTATATGTCCACTAGTACACATTGAATGTCCCCAGTATTTTTGCTTCATTTAGATCATTCCTAATAGAGGTTAACCATCCCTAATTTGGAAATAGAAATGCTCCAAAATCTGAAACTTTATGAGTGCAACATGATGCTACAAGCAGAAAATTCCATATGTGACCTCATGTGACAGGTCACAGTCAAAACCTAAGAGGAGTAAAAAATACTACATAGAATTATCAGGCTGTATGTGTAGGTTACATATGAAACAAATGAATGTTGTATTTAAATAGGTGCTATCTCTGAGATATCTCATTATATTTATGCAAATACCCCTCTCCCCCAAAAAACCAACAAAACATTTCTGGTCCTAAGCATTTCAGAAAAGGGATGCTCTACCTATGATTTTTTTCTGTCCAAACCAAATGAATGGTCCCTAACTGAACGTTAATTATACATTGCTGTCATGATGTTCCTGTTGGAATCTTTATTGACATGTTTGCCTTTCACTTCATTTGTAAACTTTGCTTACTTTATATGATTGTCAATAATATTGCCTGGTCAACTTGCTTTGCTTTACTTTTTTCAACATTCCATGTGTCACTTTCCATAATTCATTCTGTGGTATGTTAGTAGCTTTTTTTTTTTTTTTTGGTATTGGGGATCGAACTCAGGTCCTTGTGCTTGCAAGGCAGGTGACAAAACCCCTGAGCTAAATCTGCTTGGCCCAGTAGCTATTCATTTTTAAAAGAAAAGGAAAGAAGAGAGGAGAAAGAGAAAAGGGTTCCCTGACTTTGGAGGAAATGCTGGTTAAACTAGGTTAAACAAGTTTCTCAGAATTTATCAGCATTTTTAATACGCTGTCATTTAAAAAATGGACTCAGCTCCCGTGACATTTATTCACAGAGCACCTGGAAGGAGAAGGGTCTTTGAAAAATTCTTTGAGAACAGTCTACCCTAGTTCAAATTCAGAGTCCCAGTCACAGTACTCTTCAGTATTCTCAAAACACCACATTTGTCACCTTCATAGTGTTTATTAAGAGTGTGTCTTTGGCCGGGGGTTTATCTCAGTGGTTCCGGCACCTGCCTTGTAAGCACATGGACCCAATTTCGATCCCTGGTCCAAAAAAAAAAGAGGTGGCTTTCTGAAACATTCATCAGGGTTGCTCTTAAATAGAACAATTCCTAGAGGTTTGTGGGCAAATACCTTCTAGCTTGCAGTGTTAGCCAAAAATTGTTTACTCTTTCCCTTTTCTGACTGTCCTACGTTTGTTAGCTTTACCTTCTTGGTGAGATTGCAAACTTTGGGGGCGGGTACTGGGGATCGAACTCAGGACCTTACACTTGCGAGGCGGGTGGTGGCACCACTGAGCTAAATCCCTAGCTGAGTTTGCAAACTTTTTTTTTTTCCCCAATGTTTATTGGTACATTTTAGGTATACAATACAGTTACATTCATCATTAGGATCTTGTACCTTTACATGATGTATCTTGGCTCTTTTTTTTTCCCCTGCCCTCTCTTCAACCCTCCACCCTTCCCCTATTTACAAAGATTTTGTTTCCATTTTTTTCCTTTTGTCACGTTTTTTTCTTTTCCCTTCTTTCCTTTCCCCTACTCCTCCCACTTCCTCTACTCCTTTATACATTTTCTTCCTATTTCACAATATTCATTATACATTTTAATCCTTATTTACACTTTTAGATTTTCACACCAGAGAAACTATTCTGTATTTACACAAGTGTCTTATTTATTTAACTTAAGAGTATGGTCTTAATAACCATTTACCTATAAATGACTCTACTTTCTCATTCTTTATGTCTGAGTAGTATTCCACTTTATAGAAAAACCACATCTTCTTTATCCAGTCTCCAGGTGATGGGCAATTGGGCTGTTTCCAAGTTTTAGCTATTAGAAACTGCTGCAATAACGTGGTTTCGCATATATCACTGTGGTATGATTCCTTTAATTCTTTTGGGAAGATACCCAGTAGAGGAATAGCTGAGTTGATTGGGATTTCTAATTGTAGTTGTTTGAGGTATCTCCGTATTCATTTCCATAGTGGTTGCACCAGTCTGCACTCCCACCAACAGTGGAGAAGGGTTCCTTTCTCCCCACAACCCCACCAGCATTTGTTATTGGTTGATTTCTTGACAGCGTCCATTCTTTGTGGGGTGAGGTGGAATTTCAGTGTTGTTTTCATCTGCATCTCTCAAATGGTCGGTAATGAACATTTCTTCATATGTTTATTTGCTACTTTTACTTTTTTTCTGAGAAATGTCTGTTCATTTCAGATGCCCATTTTTTAATCGGGTCTTCATATTTGGGGGGGTCTGTTTTGAGTTCTTTTTATAGTCTGGATAGTAGATCTTTGTCTGAGGGACAGCTGGTTAAAATTATTTCCCATATTGTTGGTAGTCTCTTATCTCTGTTAGTGGTTTCTCTTGCATTGCAGAAGCTTTTTAATAATATGAGATCCCAGTTGTTGATTTTTTTGTGCTAGTTCCTGTGCTACTGAGGACTTGTTCATAAAGTCTTTTCCTATGCCAATGTCTTTGAGATCTACTTAACTTGTCTTCCAGCAAGTTTAGTGTTTCTGTTTTAATATTTAGATCTTAAATCCACTTCTATTTTAGTTTAGTGCATGGTGAAAGATAGAGGTCTACTTTTAATCTTCGGCAAGTTGAAATCCAGTTTTTCCAACACCATTTATTAAAGAGGCTATCTTTCTTAGAAACTTTTAATGAGTTTATAATTTTGCATTTTCTGTTCTGCTAGACATCTTCCTATTATTATAACCATTTGTTTGCTGGTTAGTGAAATAGATGAATGCAAAAGAAATGATGCTTTAAAGTACTTTTTGTCCAAGGTAGTTTTTTTTAATTGGGTATATTATGTAAATATATATTACACCACTTATTTATAATAAGATACATGAATTTACAGCTTAGTAAAAGTTCAAATATACATTTTGTGAAATGTATACAGCAGTATGACAGCACCCCATCAAAATAGGGAATATTTCCATCATTCTAGAACATTTCTTCTCCTTGCCAATAAATACTCCAAGCTATGTTCCTAGAGGTATGTACTATTCAGATTTCTGTCACTGTAGAGGAGATTTATTCTAAACCTTTATATGAATACTATCATACAATATATCCTCAGGCTTTCTTTTTATTTCTGCTTACTATTTTGTGATATAGCCAGGAATTTTTCTCTTCTATTACTGACCAAGGATTCTATTAAATGAACACAAGTTTATATATACACACATACACACACACACACACACACACACACACACATTTTTTTTTTTTGTACCAGGGATTGAACTTGGGCCCTTGTGCTTTCAAGCAGGCACCGGAACCACTGAGCTAAATCCCAGGCCCCACTCAGTTTATAGTATTCATAATATACTATAGTATATAGTATTCATTATACTATAATATAGTATTCATTTGGATTGTTTCCAGGTTCTTTTGTTGTTTTGTTTTTTATTGCAAGGAATGAGGCTACTATGAACATTCTTGTACAAGTCATTTCATAAACATGTTTTTAAACGTATGTGTTTAATACATTTTTTTAAACCAGAGGAAGTGTAAAAAGGCATGCAGCTTTTAAGTATTTCTTTATTTCTGTTTTTAACTTTTGTGGTACTGAACATCAGGTGTTTTACCACTGAGCTACATCCCAGGCCTTAAATGTTTAATGAGTAGGATATGGCTTGAGCATCTATTAAAGATGCATATTTCTATTTACACTGTTTATATTTTCATATACTGATGTGTGAATTCTGATTTCTGTGTATTAGAGAGAAGGTACAGCTGAAAAACTGAACCTTCAATTATAGTCCTTAAGAAATGTTCTGATATACAACTAAACTCAGCTTATTGGATACCTGGGGGGAAAATCAAATCCCTCTCAGTTTCTTTGTTTGCCTATTTTTTGAGACAGGATCTTGCTATGTAGTTCAGACTGTCCTTGAATTTGCTATATAGTCCAGGCTGGCCTTGATCTCTCAGTGATCCTCCTGCCTCAGCTTCCCATGTGCTGGGATTACAGGGTGTGCTACCATGCCTGGCTCCCCTTTCATTTTCTTTGATATATTTCTTACATAAGCACCCAAAGTTTTGATTATAGCTGTCTCCCTGTTTATTTACTGGTTATTGAGCAGCTGCTATTTAATGTTCCCTGCCAAGTGCTGCTACACAGGTTGGTTGTTCAGTGATAAGCTAAATTTGGCGTAAATACAGGAATTTTAGAATTTTATAGTTCAAGATACAAGTTCTTTAGTTCACATGAACATTCCAGTGCTCCAAGTCCAACCCGAAAATACACATTGGTGTAAACCATGAACAATTTTGACAGGATGATGTACATATTTTCTACTTCTCTTAAGAACTCTTCTTACAATTTTTATGTTAAGAAGCAAGACTTTACCTTGGATACCTACCTTCTTTGGTCACTCCATACTTCTCAAAATTCTGAATTTTTTTTGGAAGGGTGTAATTTGACCCCCTTGAGGCCTGCGTTGCTTTTGTAAGACTTTATAATGTTGTTCCTTTCTTGCTAATTAAAAATGGTCTGCTGCAAACTTTCTAAAAATTTATTGGATAAATTTAAATTGTATTCTTAACCAGATTGTATGTATTTTCCATTATTTTTATAATACTTTGGCAGATTTTATGTGACTTATTATCACCTGAAAACTTAAAAGAAGGCCTGAAGGAATCCTCCTGGAGTTCATTACCTTGTATTAAAAGCAGACCTTTTGGTTTCCCATCAATAATGGATGTGTGTCATTCTCCTAGTGAGCTTGGCTCAAAGCAGGTAAGAGTGAGAAGAGATTGTCATGATCTTGGAACATCTATTTCTTTACAAATTAAGATCTTTACTTCCCTAGTTCCAGCCCTTAAGACGTACTTAAGTACTTATATGGTGTCTAGTTGTCTTAGCAGTTTGTCTGCAGTCTTTCATTTATGTTAAAGCTTTTTTAAGTAAACTATTTGTTCATTCATCACAGTGTTACGTCACTTAAATGTCAGAACAAGTTTAGTCGCTTAGAATATATAGAACATATTTGTTTTAGTTTAGTCAGTGTATGAACGACTATATTAGCCTGATTTTTTTCAAACCTCGTTATATAAGTCAACTTGATATCTAGGGCTGTGTAAGTAGGCATTTTGAAACTAAAAGTGAATGCTGTTAAGTGAACATAAAAATGAATATTATGAGGCATTGTTATTTTATTTCAGTTTGATTCTTGGTGAGAGGAATAAAGAATATTAAAAAACAGGGTTACCTTTGTTTCTTATGTTTATGTAGACTGAAGAGGTACCAGAGGACACTTCAGAACCTGTCAAAGGAAGCTTAAACCGTGCTCAGTCCACACAGGCTATAAATTCCATGGAAATCCCTGCCAGAGAGGACTGCTTAAAAAGGGTGTCCTCGGAACCTTTACTCTCTGCTCAGGAAAAAGGTGTTCTGCTGAAAAGAAAATTGTCTCTCTTAGAACAGGATGTAATTATAAATGAAGATGGAAGAAATAAACTTGTAAAACAAGGAGGTAAAAACTTTACTCTCACACAACATAAGCTTATTCAGAGTAGCCTTTAAACTTTTTCCTAAAGAATAAATCTCTGTTTATGTTTGTTTGAATAGAAAATTCCAGTGACGTCTGTATGTTTTCATTTGCTTATGGTGACATCCCAGAAGAATTAATAGATGTATCAGATTTTGAATGCTCTCTGTGCATGAGGTAAGTATATAAAATCTTATAGAAAGTGAACATTTTATATTAATGTAAATATAATATAGCATAGATAAAGGTAATAATAGGTACTGTAATGTAACAGAATACTGGCCTAAATAACAAAAGGTGCGAATGTTAGTTCTAAGTTTACCTTTTTCCTCCTTAGAAAATAATAATCTCTGAACATCAGTTTTCTTGTTTAGAAAATATGGTTAATATTTGCATAGCCTGTATTACTATGTGGTAAGACTCTAATGGCTTACAGTATAAATAGAATCTGGGGAGTTGGAAAATATTATGAAAGTGACAGTATTATTTTTAAAACTTAGTTGTGTCTGTAGTCTTAGATTTGGGTAAAAATTCTATTTATGTATTTTATGTACATGCTTCTGTCTTCAATCACAAACCTTTTTAAAGTAACAATGGATAAGAATTTCCCTTATGTGGAATACTCACAATCCTAAAAGACTGACTATTTTGGAAGAACATTTCTCATTTACAGAAATTATAGTAGGATTAAGGATTTTTGAAGAGTCAAGAGGCCTGGAGCTAATCACAATTAGGCTAGGGGTAACTAGCTATAATCCTGATCAAGTCTTAATTCTGAGCCTTGGTTTTGTCCTTGAAATGAGGGAATCAGATCAGATGATTTATAAAGTACCTGTAAATTTAACAATACTTCTATGATGCAGAAGTGTCACATTTCAGGCAATAATTATAAAATAAGTCAGTTTGAAGTCAGTTTTTCTGCTTGAGTATTACATCTGTTATTAAGCCTAATAGTTCTTTTAGAGTTCAGCAGTAGTAATTAGATTATTCTTTTTATGAATTTTATATAGTAAGGCTTTTATAAGCCTATTAAAACAATCAAGTTGATAAAGTCAGAGTCTGGAGGCTACACATAAACTAATAATTATTAGTGACATATTTTACGTTATTTATTTTGCACCAGGCTCTTGAAGTTTGGTGTGTTTTTACATTTGCTTTGTGTCTCAGCTTGCTGCATTTCAAGTGCATAGTAGCCAGTCCTGTTAGAGTAATCAGTGCCATTCTAGGTCCTGGCCTGGATACTTTTGTTGATTGAGAACTTCAGAAAGGTTCAGAAGGGTACAATATACTTACCAGTGCCCCTTCCTTTCTTCCTCATCAACCTTCCTTCTTCCTCCTAACTAGAGATTAGTGTCGTGGTTCTTTTCTTTTCTTTTCTTTCTGGTACTGTTGATTGAACTCGGGTCCTTGCGCTTGCAAGGCAGGCGCTGGAACCATTGAGCTAAATCACCGTTCCATTATTAGTTGATGTTTTTCCAGTAGTTTAATTTGAAAGCTAACATGTATTTTGGTTGATTTCAGGTTGTTTTTTGAGCCAGTGACAACCCCTTGTGGACATTCGTTCTGTAAGAACTGTCTTGAACGTTGCTTAGATCATGCACCATACTGTCCCCTTTGCAAAGAAAGCTTAAAAGAGGTGAATATTATTGTATTAGTATCTGTTTATTTGTTTTAAGTTTGGCAATATGATTTGATTTCTATTCAGCTGTAGCAATAGTAATTATCATGTGCAGAATGAGTTAAATTACACATGCTGAGTTACTAAAAATGACAGTGTTTTATTACCCATAGGCCAGTGTTGGAGAAAATTGAAATTGAGAAAATTGGGGAAGGAAGATTAAGTATTAGAGACCCAACCCTTTGTACTTAATTTTTTTAACAAAAGAAGGATGATCATTTACCTGGTCAGGAGTAGCTTCCATTTTAATGTTGCAGTATTGGGGAAACCTCACTGCGGTGCCTCTTATGCACAATAGTGAGCCAGGTTTGAGGCCTCTTCTAGCTCCTTTAACATCTATAACTCTGTTCAGTAGGACTTTCTGCCTTGATGGAAATGCTCTCTGTCTTTGTTCTTTAATATAGTAGCCACTAACCATGCATGCCTGTTCAAGCACTTGAATTGTGGCTAGGCTAGTATGACTGAGAAACTGTGGTTTTAATTTTATTTAATTAACTTAAATTGAAGTAGGCACACATAACCAGTGGCTACCACACCAGACAGCACATGTTGGAAGAGGTGGATTTGCAGCAATGCCCTTATCATAGTCAGTAATTAGCAGTAGGAACTGGTGATAGGGAAATCGCTAGATCTCAGTGGTATTTCCTGTCCCCGAGGGAAGACAGCACCCTCAATCGTGCTGAGTGACTGAGATCAACCAGGGTGCCAGCAGGCCTTTTGATGCTGAGTGTCAACTACATTGGGCACGTTGATAGGAAAAGCTGTTCTTCTGTCTTAGGTGATGGATCCACATTGTTTACAGAAAACAGATGTCATCCAGATAGAATAAAAGATTAATAAAGCCCATTTTAACACTTATTTTTTAAAGAAAAAACACAACTCTGCAGATTACATATAGCATATGGGTATTTGTTACATTTGGCTTGTGACATACAACATACCAGTGTGATTTGTAAAACAAAATGACATACAGAATGTTTGCAGTCAGGAAACAAAACTATTCATAAAGATTTTGTTGGTTACTTTATCAACTGATATGCTCAGTGTTTTCCGATAATGTACTCTAGACATGCTATTCTTCCAGTCTGTTGGGTACTCTAGGGTAATGATGCTTTTTGTTGTTATTCAAATTAACTTAGATCCATTGCTTTTATTTAGATATAGTCTTAAAAAATGTTTGGAGTTCAAAGAAAAATACATAAAGTATATTATTTGAAAATATACTGTTTAAAAATGTTTATCTTGTGTGCATTTTGAAGACACTATGTAATTTGCAAATTCTAAATATACAATTTTTAAAACAATATTGGTATGCTATATGATTTTACATTTTTTTCTACTTGTTTTAGTTTGCTTTTTCCTTTTAAATATTTTCTAGAGCAGCATAATAGTACAGTTTTATTGTTCGTAAATGCTATTCATTTTTTAATATACCATGCTTTTATGAACATTAATGGCTATATGCACCTTTTACTGTTTCCTCAGGTTAAATTCTTGGGAGGTAAATTACTAGGTCAGAGACTATACATAAAGTTATTAAGTTCATTTGCCAGAATGCCTGCTCCTTTTTCCTACCCCCCAACCTTAAAACGTTATGCAGATTTAGACTCCTATCAGTAGTGTAAGAGATAACATATTTTCCCAACTTTTAACTGTGTGGTCATTAAAGTTCCAACATTGTTTAATAAAAAAATTATTGGAAGGCTGCTTTTCTAATATCTGTACTTGGATTAATTTTACTATTACTCTTTTCTGTGTATGCTGTGTATGCTCTTCTCAAGAGTATATCTCTCAAGTCTGTATAGCCTGATGATTGTAAAAATGTTTCCCTCACTAGTAGCATCTATACCACCTGAGAATTACGGATTTTGAAGTACGGATTCCCAGACCCTGTTCCAGGTCCACTAAATCAGTGTCTAGGGTGGTGTTCAGCAATCAGTACCTGTAACACACCTTGACTCTTCTCAGATTTGAAAATCACTTTTGTAACCACTTTCTTAGACTCTTACATTTTCTAATCTAGCCTTCATTGGATATTGACAGAACGCTTATTGTTGATCTGCAGATTAAAGTCTTTTCTTTCTTTTGTAATTGTCTCCCAAGAGTTTTTCCTTCTTGTTTTTAATAAATATATGTTGGATATTTTTTGTGCACATTCAGTCACTGGCCCCAAGCAATTTCTAGTTTAATTAGCAAGATCAATTATCCATATCCATGTATTACAGTAAAGTAGATGGTAGGTGCCTTTCATGTGGTAAAAGCAATAAAATCTGAGGTCTTGGGGTGACAGAACAACAATTAAGGAAGGCTTCATTTTGAAACGTAAAATTGGAGCCAGATCTTGAAGGGTAGCTAGACTTTTCATAGGCAAGAGTGAGATAGATCATTTTTATCAGTTCAAATAGAGAATAACACAGAAATGGATGGCAGTTTTTAAGAATACTTAAGGAGGAGCAAAAGTGTACCATTTTATGCAGAGTCAGGTGTTGGATAGTAAAGGAAAAGCAGGTTTTCATAGCCCTGAGTGCTAATGAGAGATGGTGAAAGGAAAACTTGGCTAGAAACTTGACCTCTGAAAATGGGGACCAAAAGAATTGTTTTGCTTTGCTTAGAGCACATGTATTATTTTCTTCATCCTTACCTTCTTTTTGTTTCTCAGTTAAAATGATAGTTTCAGTGTCAGGACATGTCAGGTGGAAATTGGCCTTTGTGGGAGAGAGATGGCAGTAACAGGGCTGCCTGCTGATAAGGGATTTCTGATCATGGCAAGACACGTTTTCATCTATAGTGCTTGGTTCAAGCTGCACCTGTCTTTTATGCTTTTAAGCAAAACCTCAGACAGACTGACTTGAATAGCATCATCAGTGTAATGTTCCCCGAACTAATTAAACTTACTCAGAATCAACGGTATAAATATGGAGTAAAGGTTTTCATATATCAGTTAAACTGTTTTGCCTGTTTTATACTATAGGAAAACTACTACTGGAAAGTAAAATAATATTGTTTTTTAGTATCTAGCAGATAGGAGGTACTGTGTCACACAGCTGTTGGAAGAATTAATAGTGAAGTATCTGCCTGATGAACTGTCTGAGAGAAAAAAAATATATGATGAAGAAACTGCTGAACTCTCACAGTAAGTTTCTTCTGATAAAAATTAACTTAAGCTGTGAACTATGACCCCTGAAAATAGTGACGAGAAACCTTCCCACAGTAAGCTGGGTCCTGTCTTTAGTTCAACTTAATCTCGCAAAGACATTTTAAAGAAATATTGGTTAGTTTCTCCTGTCCTCAGGAGACAATATTTAAAGAGTTAATTTGGAAGCATCCACATGTTCAGCTTGTTGGGCTAAAGCAGTTTTTGAGGCGGGGGAGGAATCTCCTGAAGCGATATCAGGCAGAAGAATGGGTAGAGAATGGGAGCAAGTGACGGTGACACAGATGGTGGCAGCAGCTGACGCGTGTCATGCAGAGGAGACGGAAGGCCGAGAATAGGTGGACCTAGTTAACGGGATTTCAGCCAACTAAAGATTCGGAAGTAGGGGCTGAATACTGAAATTTGGAGGAGTGACTAAGGCCACAGCCTCAGTAAAGGTACTGACTGGGAGCAGAACTAAGTTAGTGTCGCGTAGGTGAAACACCCAGAGGAGACTTTGGAATTTAGTCATATGAGCTGTCAGGGGGACACACGGTTGATGGGAGCTGGGTACGTTGGGCTTGGCTTTTCTTGCCTTCTTTATCTCTTGGGCTTTTCTGCCCTTTTCCTTTAATGCCTGTCCCTCAGTTACCAGTTATATGGGTCTCTGAATTTATTTCACAGGTTTTTAATTTCTTAACTCTCTTTTTGTCACTGTCTTTTAACCAAACCCTAAAGGACAATGTTATAATCTTATGTGCTGTTTTTATTTAACTTTTTGTTTCCATTTTTCAGAACATAAATTGAGCATTTTATATGTCTTACTTTATTACAAATGATCAGTTGTGATCTGTAAACTTTTCTTTTCCAATATGTGTCCCTCACATGTCTTCAGCAGTCCAGTGACCTTCAATAGAAGAAAGTTTTCCAGTCTTTTGTTGATAGAAATTGATAGTGGTGTGACTTCCTATGGAATTGATATTTCCTTAAGTGGTTCTCTGATAGAAAAAATTCTGATGTGGGGACTGTGGGCCTTTTCGATCATTACTGAAAGAGGTAGATTTTAAAAGCTATCATTAGGCCTTTGAAATCTTAAGCACAGTGATAGAAGCAGACAGCCCACAGCAGAGTGGAAAAGTGAGGGAGAGCTGTAAGTAGCAGAGAGAAGCTACAGGGAACCTTGCTGCTTAGGAATGGGGCTATTTTTTAACAGATAAATTTGCATAGCTAATTCATGTTTTTAAAGAAGCCTAAAGAACAAGCAGAAGAAAAGCTATATTCTGTAACCCAGAGGACATCACCATTGGTATTTTGGCATGTATCTTTCCAGGCTTATATTGTTTTAAACAGAGATGAGATCATACTCATTCTGTTCTGTATCTTCTCATTAATAGTTATTTTTAAATCAGTATCATATGCATCATCATTTAATGGAAAATACAACATTCCATTTTAAGGATATGCCATACTTTACTCCTCTTTTGTTTCCAAGTTTAGACTCCTATCCACAGTTCTACTATGAACATCCATATAGTAATTAGGATTATTTCTAAAAGGAAGACTTTTGATTCCAAGAACATCTATCAGAAACATAAAATTTCCAGTGTATGATGCCAAGTGCTTGTTTAGCCCGCTTGTACCGTTTCAGGCAGCCTCCACACTTTCAATATTTCCCATGCTTCTGCCAAAACCAGGCATGCTTTTATTCTTCTCTTACTGTCTACCAATCTGCTCATGAAAAACGTTACATCGTTTTTAGTTACCTAGAAAATGTTAACGTCTTGAATTATGTTTTTTGATAGTTTGAGAACACCTTAATACTTAAGAATTTTTGTTTATTATGGGAGTTCATTTTTTTCTTACTGTCCTCTAGGAGCAACTGTTTTTTTGGTACATAAAATCCATTAGCTTTGTCCTTCATTTACAAATATTTTAAATATATTTTAATATAAAATATTAGTTATGATATTTATTTATAAAGGAACTTAAACTTTATATAATTAGTATCTCAAAATTCAAACTTACAAATAAGAGGATCACAAACAATTTTTTAGAATTATTACTGTTTCAACATGAGCTTATTGAAGGGTTTGCTGATTTTTGTTCTTGTCAGGAATTAAAATCACCTGAGAACCAATTTATTTTTGTTTTATATCTTGATCTAGTAATGAAACTTCTTTTCCTTCAGCTTGACCAAGAATGTTCCAATATTTGTTTGCACTATGGCCTACCCCACTGTGCCTTGCCCTCTTCATGTATTTGAGCCAAGATACAGATTGATGATTCGAAGAAGTATACAGACTGGAACCAAGCAGTTTGGGATGTGTGTCAGTGATACCCAAAATAGGTACGATTTTTGCGAATTTAAATGTTTGTATGTACATTAGAACTCTGTAAGTGTGGAAGAAAACTTGCATGCATATACTTGAACTATGATATTAATCAGAATTTTTCTTTTAGCTTTGCAGATTATGGTTGTATGTTACAAATTAGAAATGTACATTTCTTACCCGATGGAAGGTCTGTGGTTGATACAGTTGGAGGAAAGAGGTTTAGGGTTTTAAAAAGAGGAATGAAAGATGGATATTGCACTGCAGACATTGAATATCTGGAAGATGTTAAGGTATTTACAATTTTTCTCTCCTAGCATACTCTACTCTGTTGTGGAAATTGGTACATGCGTACAGGCTGATATTTTCAAACATCTGAACCAGTTCTGAACTGCTACTTATGAGGAATAGCTCTGGGTTACAGTTTTCTTATCTTGCTATTGTGTTGTACATTCAGGGGAACTTAGGAGATTAAAGCTGACATCCTCTCTATTTCTGCATGTTTACCAACCAACAGTGCCTAGGTTGTATGTCTGTTTCCATGCTCATGTTACATGCATGATAGTTACTCAACAATAGCAGTTATCTACACTGAACATCAAACCATCTGAGTTTTTAGGGTTGCTAATCTCTGCCTTATTTTATTGAGTTCATTAGTATCTAATATCATTAGATTAAAATTTGATGTAAACACGTAAAATCCTTTAGGAACTATGTTATATATTAAGACTGTTCCTGTGCCAAAGATACAGTAGCGAAAAACATAGACACTGCGTTAAAACTCCAGGACATTGCAGATAAAGCACTGTCAGTATACATATTGCTGATATTTTACCTGGGTAGAGTTAGGGAGAAATCTTCCTTTAACAGAGTCAGTGTGTTTCTTTTTATGTTTCCAGGACTTAATTTATCGATTATAATTAGTTGAGGTACCAGGAAATGGCTTGTGGGTTATAAATAGCAAGTTGATCTTTTTATAAACATTAGTATGTTGAATTTTCTCAATTCTGTGAAATAACATGTGAAGAAAACATAACTCAGAGGTTTAAGTAATTTTCCCAAGCTTCTGTATGTAATGATTCAAAGCCCATACTCTGACTCCAAATTCTGCATTTTATCATTACACAGTCTTGCTTCTAACGTGATGAACTGGGCCTGATACCGCTTGTCCTGTCATGTTATACAGGCCATGAGATACTATGCCTTGGAAAGTAAGCCAAAATTATGTGGTTAAAATTTTGAGTTGATTGATATTGTTTGTCTTAGGCATGCTTGGTTAATGGTATGATTCACCAAAGGCAAATTTTAATTTTATACAAATTATAACTATTTTGGATTTGATGGCAAAATTTCCTTAAGTATATGGTTGCTATAGGAAAACACACACACAAACACAATAGAGGGGAATATTTAAAACCTGTTTAGAAAATTGATATGAACCAGGCATGGTGGCACATGCCTGTAATCCCAGTACTTGGGAAGCTGAGGCAGGAGGATTGCTGTGAGTTCGAGACCAGCCTGGGCTACAAAGTGAGTTGTCAGTCTCAACTACATAGTGAGACCCTGTCTCATAAATAAATAAATAAATAAATAAATAAACAAATAAATAAATAAATAAGATTCATTTGATATTTAGAAAATTGAATTCTTTTTGTCTTTGTGGTCTTTGGAATGTCTAATTTTTTTTTTCTCATCTTAATGTTGTCATCTATTGAGTGATTTTTCTTGTTCATCCTGGAAAAGCTACTCAAACATGTTTTTTATGTCTTCGCTTTTATTATTTTTTGTAGTGTTTTTCTAATGAAGTTTTAAGTTCTGTTATAGTATCACACTAATACTCTTAGCTTTAAGCTTTTTGCGGGGGGGCATTGGGAATTGAACTCGAGACCTTGTGCTTGCAAAGCAAGTGACAGCATCATTGAGCTAAATCCCCAACCCTAATACTCTTAGCTTTAAAAACTTGCTTTTAAATTTCTGTATGATTCTTGGCTGTCTTATCCAGCTCAGAGTCCATCCTTACCAATCCTTGAATTTTGTGAGAATGTAAAGGAGGTGTTTTGGGTGTATTTTAAGTGATCTAGCACCTGACAGGTTTATTTCTTGCTTATATGCATTCCCAGATGTGTTACTAGGTAACTGTATCTAGTAGTACAGTCATTCTAAGAACAGAATGTTTTGATTTTATGGCCCCCTACATACATACCTTCCTTTCTTCCTTCTTCCTTTTCGAAAAACAATACATAAAATTTACCATTTCTAGCATTTTTAGATGTGCAGTTCAGTGGCATTTAAAGTTTTATTTCAGTTTTTTCAAAAGGAAAATTTATTCTTTTGTTTCTTGTGTGCTTTAACTTTACTGTCTATACGTCAGATGTTTCCAGAGTCCCTTTGTTGTTTCATATTAGTCATCCTTGAAGTAGGAAAGGCTGAGTCAGCCAGCTGTTTCCTCAGATGAGTTAATATATATGAAATGGAGCACTTCCTGGCAGGTAGCAAATGGGAGATGAGTGTGTTTTAAAGGAATCAATAGAGGATGGACAAGTTAATTTAGATCTTCCGCCTGTGTTCTGTGAGACGCCTCCTCTGAATCTGAGGCCAGAAGACCATATGCTCTTAATTTTACACTTGTAGTTCAGTGACTGAGTGGTGTAAAGTGTACATGGAAAGTTTTGGAGATAGCCAGGGCCTTGAGTTTTTACAGTAGGAGAAGTCAATCATAGTATAGTAGTTTTTTTTTATTTACTAGCTTTGTATGCCAAGTTACTTATTTTTGGCTTGTTTTGACCCATTTCCTTGGTAAAACAAGTGTGTCTGGCTCTTCCTATTTCTACTTTCTGCCATGTGCTCTGTACCCTGTTTTTCCTTTTATTGTAGCTGATGTTCGCTGCCACTTTCATGTTTCACTGCTTTTAGAAGACAAAAGCAATTCTAAATTCGTACAGCCCTTTGAACCCAAACTCACTCTCATCCTCTCTCCCTCCTGGGGGCTTTAGTAGCGTCTGTGATAGTGTCCTGCTATGCAGCAGGGTCAGGTGGCGGCCAGGACGTGCTTTCTTTCTGTAATCTGAGATGCAGAAATATATGCTTACAACAGCATAAAAACAATATTCTCTGATAATGTAGCCCTGACATGGGTATTCTTCTGTTTTGCATTTTTAAAGGGTTGGTGATATGGATAGGGTGATTAGACGGAGATCTCTTACCAGCTGTTATCTTCTAGGTTGATAATGAAGATGAGGTAAAGAGTCTCAGAGAACTTCATGATTTGGTTTACTCTCAAGCCTGCGGTTGGTTTCAGAATTTAAGAGACAGATTTCGAAGCCAGATTCTTCAACACTTTGGATCAATGCCTGAGAGAGAGGAGAACCTTCAGGTATGAGATTTTGATACTGCTTTCAAACTGCTCACTTTAGGGGACGGTTCTTTCCTGAAGATGTTCAGGTGGAGGGATATAAAATTAAAAATAGGGTGCTACCATCTATTAAAGAGTGACTGTGAAACAACTGCGCTTTCAAGCCCTTTATCTGTTGCTATTTATTCAACAGTTAAACTGTATCATTTTCTATACTTAAAAAAAAAAAATCTTTCCTCACTTGTCCTTTTCCCCTAGAATATTACCCCACTGCTTCATTCCATTTTTGTTTTTTCACATTTAATACTTGGCCCCTTATGAAACTATTATCCTTAAGGTCTTGCTCAGGTGCTTAGCGCTTAGTTTAGGTGATGTGTGTTGCGTTTTCTGTGCATGCAGATCTGTGTAGTGGACACTGCAGGAGGCTTAAAAGAAGGTCCCTATCCTGGAAGTTCTGACTATAGAATCATCAAGGCATTAATTTTTGGACATAAGTATTTTGAATGGAATTAGATGAAATGTTGGTGAGATTCATAAAGGGATGGCTAAGTAATTTTATGAAGATGGAATGATGACAGATCCCACTGTGATGCCTCCTGCCTCTCACTGTATTTTTCAACAATTGGCTTGAGTCTGCCTGAAACCTAGCTGAAGCCTCCACCTGAACTTGAAATCTCAATATCAAGCCATCTCCAAATTAAGAACTCATATTCATTCTCTGTCTAGCACATTATCAATTGCTACATACTTGTTTCATCCTGGTTTCCTGAATCTGATCAAAACCAAATATTATATCTTTAAAACTACAGAAAAACTCAACATTACTTTGCCATCGTTTTCACTACCTTCATCCTTTATTGTCCAAGTCTTTACCACTGCATTGTGCTATATGATATCAAGTCAGGGTTCAGTTAGGAAAACAAGAAGCTGCTTGTACACACTCCAGGAATACAGGGTTTACTGTAGGACATAGACTGTATGTGGTAGCTGGAAGCCTGGAGGAACAAAGATCAGGGCGTCTGTATCCATAGGTTAAGGAATCTGTTATCACCAGCCACTTGGACCAGCAAAGCAGGTGCCTCTTAAGAAATTATGGGGAAGCTACTGTAATTCTTCGAAACCTGAGGGAGTGAGTCCCTACCAGTATGTGTCAGCCTACAGCAGTGGAGCAGATGACTTTCAAGAATTCTCTGGGAAGCTGCTGCCCGTAATTTGCAACAGTCTTCAGAGAACCATGACCTCTTTTCCACATCTGCATTCTCACTGGCCATGTCCAACCTGGAGCCTTACAGAGGAGGGTGTTCATGGAGTGTAGTTTCTCACGTCTCTCTAGAATATATAAGAAGGTGGTTATGTGATTTGAAAACCCGTAATATACAAATGTACAAATGTAATTTGAACATAGACGGAGTTTACTGGGATCACTGTTGAAATTCATTATGTCATTCTGAAACTTCATGTTTCAGGCACAATTCAGTGAGCAGTTATGGGGGTTTACAAATCCTTTTGTGTACATTAATAGTCCTTTCAGTAGCTACTTGCCAGCCCTTGCAGCCTCAGAGGGATTTCTTTGCTGGAGATACGTTTATGTTTTCAAACTAAACTGGAAACCTAGATAATTTTCTCATGTCTTTTTTAGTATTTCATTTTTTTCAAGAAATTTTAAGGATCAGTTAACTTTTCCTAATTCTTTAAATATATATTTTAAGAAAGCACTTCTCAACTAGGGGCAGTTTTGCTCCCATGGGACATTTAGCATTATCTGGAGACATTTTGGCTGTCGTAACTGGGGAGGAGGTGCTACTGGCATCTAGTAGATAAAGGTCAGGGTTGCTACTTACTGTACCACAATGCACAGGACAGCTTCACACCACAAAGAATTACCTAGCCCCAAATGTCATTAGTTTGAGGCCCAGAAGCCATACACTCAGGCAGTGCAATCCAGAGAAAAGAGCATTAGCCGTGCAGTCAGGTCTGGATGGGATGTGGGCTCTGCTACATGCAGCTGAGAGATTCTGGAAAATTGCATTACATTTCCAAGCATCAGTGTCCCTATCTGTATGAGCATAATAATTGCCTGTCCTACAGGATTGTCAAGGGAATTTGAAATAGCAGCTGGCACAAAGTAAAGTGCTCTGTAAACAGTGGCTTTATAGTTGTTTATTACCATTGTCTAATTTTTTTTTATTAATACTGTCGAATCCACTGTTGATTATTTTTAGGCAACTCCTAATGGACCTGCGTGGTGTTGGTGGCTTCTTGCAGTTCTTCCTGTAGATCCTCGGTATCAGCTGTCGGTGTTGTCCATGAAATCTTTGGAAGAGCGTTTGACAAAGATACAGCATATACTAACATATTTTTCTAGAGACCAATCTAAATAACTAACTGCTTAGATCTTACTTTAAAGTTACCCTAATCTGGCTATGACAGCTGGATTGTCCGCTGCCTTTGCACATCCAGTGCTGGTTTGAGAAATGTAATGAACTTTGTTTCCTTCAACCTCCTGAACCATGTGGATCTGCAGATGAATACCTTCAACTAGGATTTAGACCACTAAGAACCTGCACAAAAAAACACTCAGTGAATGTGTGTCGAACCTCTACATTGTGATAAAGTTGCACTATGTACCATATATGAAAATAAATTAAGAACTCTGTATGTATGTAGTGGGTGGGTGCGTGTGTGTGTGCGGGTGTCTGTGTAGTATGTGTGCATTTTCCCTGGCTTTAAAATTAAAAAAAAAAAAAAAAGCCATAGAGAGCAGAATTTGCCGAGGGTCATTTATTGCCTGGTTTACAACTGTAGCGATATAAGTTTTTGCAAATTCTATTTGCCTCAGATTTCTCTGTCCTAATGCTTATATTTGCACAAGTATGTAAAATATGGTACCAAGTATCATTCTCTGTTGGAAATACTGTTCTTGCTGAACTGTCTTGACCATTGACTATGACACAGTTTCTTATTTATGTAAATACTTGCATCCTAGTGGCCAACAGGCTTCGGATGCAGAACCTAGAGCCAGTTTTCAGGAACAATTGCAAACCTGACATGGTACTGTGCATCTGTTCATAAAACACTCAAAACTGTGAAATTATGGTTTACATGTAATTGTACATAAAGGTAAATGGAGGACTCAATTCGGTATCAGTTTGTACATTTTAGGGGCTTTTCACATTAACTGCCCGTCTATGTGATTTATAGTTTGACATGATGTGTTTAAGGATTACATAGGATAAACCTGTTAAGGACTAGGGGAAGAGAAGAAGCTTAATGTAGAACTAAGCTTTTAAAGTTTGTTTTGTTTTTTAATTCGGTCTTGGTGCAAATGTGAGTTCTGCCTTATTCATATCACAGTTAGATCACCATGCTGTGACATGGTTTATCTTCATGCTGCCCTAGAGACTTTTGTAATTATTTGTTGCCAACTTGTGACTGTCTCTATTAACTTTCTTTTATGTAAGTAATTTGTAAAAGTTTCTTAAAATTTTTGCTTTTGCTTATTTAATTTTGAATAAAAGCTAAATTCATAATTTTTTCTTAAATTTTAAATCGGTGTCCAAAAATAGTAGATGAACCAAACTACATAAAAAACAAATGAATTTCATTTATGGTTTTGCGACATGAGTTATAAGCTGTGGTTTTCAAAATACACAAAACTTTATTTTTGAACATATCACAAAGATTTTGAACAAAGAATACATTGTCTTTACAGAGGCTTCAAGTCTAGAATCATTCTCTAAATAATTATTTTTCAACCTTTTAAAATCCATTTCCCTTTAGGAAAAAGATAAAATTCTTTTTTCCCCCATTTTGCAATATCAGAAATTGAACCCAGGGTCTTCATATTATACTAAATCCCCAATCCTTTCCCTGTACTTTCTTAGTTTTTAATTTGTTACCAAGTTGCTAAATTTGCCAAGTTGGCCAAGCAGGCACTTATGATCTCCCTGCCTCAACCTCCCAAAGTGGCACGGGCTACCATACCTGGTAAATATAAAAATTTTCACACATATGCTACCTCATCTAAGACTCCTTTGTTACACCGACCTCACCACTTCTGCCCCAAATGTTACAGCTACGATATTTCTGATATAGTGTTTTAATATCGAATGTTTTGTTACAGTCATATTCAGAAATGACTCTAAAGAACCATACCTAGCCCCACAATCATCCCACTTAAGCATATGCTCAGTAGTTTCACAGGAAACATGAGATTGGGCCATTCAGCCAAACATAGTGATGCATGAAATCCAAGCCTTCCAGGAGGCTTAGGGACTTAGTGGACTCTGTCTCAAAATAAAAAAGATCTGGGGGTGTTACTTACTGCAAATGTCTTGGGTTCAATCCCCAGTACCAATCAGTCAGAAATAAAATAGAATGTGCCATTTTCCCAATAGTAACTTATCAGTAATTTCTGAAGTGTTATTTTAAAGCTGTTAAGTGCCTGTTAAAAGGGACTCAATATAAAGGAAGGGTTTACCTATGTATGTCTCAATATGTCAGCAAAAGGAGTTTCCTGATGTTGAACCCAAATCCTCAGTGTATAGCATGTTCACACAAAAATGAGCAATCAATCCCCCCATGTACACGTGTACTATTGCAAATTTAGGGACTTTAAAAAGTCATTTTATATTTTGTGACATGACCCCTGACATATAGTTTCTATTCAGATTTTTTTCACATCTCTTTAGTGCCTGAGTTCTGTCATGAATTCTATATTTTAAGCAGAAATAGTTGGTAGTAGTCTTTATACACCTGTATACACAAATTCCTCATGTTTCTCAAGGTCCAATGTAGATAACTTCAACTCAAGTAGGACTCAACTTGCCTTGTATTTTGCTTGTGACACTTCAGGGAGTAACTGGAATAAAGATATAAACCATCATCTAGTAATATCTAGCAGTTCAGATGGGTTTAAGTGGTCATAGGCTGACCACTAAATATAATTGAAACAAATACCAGTGCTTAGCAAGGAGATAATAATGACTGGATGAGCAAATACACTTGTCTCCTGCTTTTGCAAATCATTAAAAACAAAAACGTCTAATGGCTTTGTGAGGCAAAATTCCACTAACTTGCTTTTGAAGACCGAGATGTGGGGTGTGATACATAGGACCAGGGTAAAGCATGTCTTTGCTGAAATAGAGGACTATGGTCAAATCCAAGTAGCACAGAGAAACTCAAACTAGGAGAGGGTTTGATAAACCCTGTGGAGATTCTGCTTGAAACAACAGACCATTTGACCTGCCCCACTTGCACTGGGCAGTAGATAGCAACAGCAGTTATTCTGTGGCCAAAGTATTGAATGTGGGTGTTACACCAGAGATGCACAGATCTTTCCAAAGCTTTAGATCCCAGGTAGGATGCGAAGCCTTGTGGGGCAGGATGTTCCACATCTGCCACAGCCAAGCTATCTTTGGCCAAACCGGCAACCCAAGTGGCTGATCTCAAACAGCAAATTGTAGAAATGTGAAGAAAATGAACAAGGCAGACAATATGCTTAGATCTGAGTGCTGTAATCCTTCAGAAGATCCGAGAATGTGAAAAAATGTTCTTCACACAGTCCGGGTCACCATTTGAAACCAATAAACAGTTGTTGAGTCAGTGAATTAATCATGAAAACAAAGTCTGTGGGTGAACTAAGGAGAAGGAATGCAGACAGAGTGAATAAGGTGGAGGTTTAAGTTGGTATCTTCAATGCTGAGCATTCAAAGTATGAAGAAAACCTGAGACATGGGCAATAAATTCAGAGTTTTAGCATCCATCTCAGTTTCTTGAGAGTAGAAGGGAAGACATAAATATTACATGTAATTTTCCCTGTGTTAAGACTAACAAAATATTTTACGTGCATTCTTAGGGACCAAACATCCATTTAAAGGGGTGAAAAATAAAAACCAATTTACACAGACTGAGCAAACAAAATAGCAATAACTTAATTGGCATTGATTGGCAACAAGATGACATATTCAGTGATGGAAATTTGAGGACATAAATCTTTCTAAATCAATGTTTACATGACAGTATTTAACACTTTAAACATTTTAAATAGATATTTAAGATGCAGCTTAATAAATGAGCTCTCTTGAACCTGCCTTTAAATTGCATTTGTTCACTAAAATTAAATGTGTCTTTAAAAATTTTGAGGGGGCCACAGTTTAGTATTTTTAAAAGAATATGGGCTTAATTTCAAAAGTATATATACTTTCCTTTTAAAATCTGATAGGCATTACATTTAGCCCTCAGAAAAAGCCTGTGAAGAAGGTATTGAGGAATCAAATGCTAAGAAGTAATTTGCCCAAGGATTGTAAAACCATTGTGGGGTAGGACTGACCCTGAACCTTAGTAGTTCGGCTCCCCTTAGTACTGTATCAAGTAATAAAACATCTAGGAAGATTCATGATGAAGGGTCCACACGTGACTGACATTTCCCTGCCATAGCAGGCTGCACATGTAAGGGTGCATTTTACAGTGGTGAAATGAGAACAAGTTTTTATGCAACTTACTAAGATTGAGATATATTTTCAAACAAAGCTCGGTCCTGTATTTCGGGGAGCAATGTAAATTGATAAACTTTTCAGAAAGCAATATTGCATAAATGTGTCAAGATTCATTAAAATGTGCATATTTTTAGACCCAATACAATTTTGAAGGATTTAAGGATATAATTAAAATCTGTATGCATGACAGTAGGTACTATTTTACTCAATATATTTAGAACAGCAAAAACAGAAATAACAATGCCCTCTTAAAGTGACAAATAGAAATTCAAACGAGTAATATTCAGCTACTAAAAATAACAGGAGAGACTGTGAAATGCAAAATTAAAAATTATACCATGATCTTCACACTATACGGATCTAATTAAAGATTAGAAGATATGCACAAATCAAATCAGTAAGATTGACAATATACTTTCCTTTAGAAATCTTATGTCTTGGGCTGGGGATTTAACTCAGTGGTTCAAACGCCTGCCTTGCAAGCACAGGGACCCAAGTTTGATTCCCGGTACCAAAAAAAAACAAACAAACAAGAAAAAACTTATGTCTTTTTTGTGGAGAAAGCTTGGCCATCAGGAGTTAATCTGCTTAATCTGTGACTATATTACTTTGGGTTTTAGCATCGGAGATGGTGACCATATAATGAAGTCTTTATGTGTTGTGATTGCATTGCTAAACTGGAAACTGAAATGGTAAGGAATTACTGAGTAGGCATAATCCTCTAAAAACACCCTCAGTGTATTTGGTATCATTCTTTCACAGTTTAGTAACAGGAAATATCAAGAGAAGCCAATGTGAAAACCTATTATAGCAGTAAGAATGTTAAACCATGGGAATTAGAATATTCTTAGAGGCTTTTTGAAATGGGCATAATTTGGAAAATAAACTGCCTTCAGAGGGGTGGTATTTTTACAACCAAACGCATCAACATCACACACTATAGGATATTCGTATGCCAAGTAGCTGTATTTCAGGGGATACAAAGCATGTATGACAGTGGGCAGAAAAAAATGAAGTTTAAATCCTGGCGCTCTTACCAGTGAAATTGTTTGGGTTTAGCCAGGGCTTTTCATACTTGTGAGTCTCAATAACCTCTTCATCAAAATAGGAATTTAAGACAATTTATGTAAACATGAAACAGAATAGAAGATACTTAAATGGGAGAGTCATTATTACTGTTGCCAACATCATAGCAATGAAACTCTTAAGATGGAGTTGTTCTGAATCATTAAACAAAAATGCCCTGAAATAGTAAGGATACAGAAATGCCCCAAATGGAGAAAGTTCTGTGTTATGCAACCCGGGATTGAAAAACAATCCTGACTTGACATTGCCTAATGACACTCTATTCTCTTTAGCATTCATTGGATGAATCAAGAGTTCCTCTTCAAAGAAAAACAAAATGCAAGAAACCCAGGCAAGTTCCAATAAGTTTTACGTAATACAGCTATAACTCTTGTTTACAAGACCAATGTGAGAATTGTCATCGCTTTCAGGAGTTAGCCTCTAGCAATTATTAAAGTTGTATTTACAGATTAAATAGCTTTGTCTATGAATTGAGTAAAGAGAAATGGAGAAATTTGAGGCTTGAATTCAGGTTAATTTTCCATTTTTTTGTGGCTTAGAAGTAATACTGTCTTGCAAATCTACATTCAGGAAGTAAAGAAACACGCATTATTGTCTAGCTCAGAGTTAGAAGATGAATTGACTTCATGCCACATGAAAGATCTTACATAATATAAACTTCATCATATATAGATACATAGTCAAATTGGTACATAACATGTGTGTGCAGAATAATTCACTGAAATGTGTGTAATCTCTTTATATGCCCACAGTACTTCAAGTAGGTAATTTAGATTTACTTTTCTGGCCTCTAGGGAAATAATTTGCTTAAAGCAGAAACAGCCTGAAATGTAGTGCTTTTCCTGTCTCTAGTTAAAACCCA